CACTGGCGCAAAGCCTAGCAGGCGTGGCACTTTCTCGACACCACATGAGGGTGCGCAGGGGGTGGTCTCTCAGTTCGGCCGCTATCCACGACACTGGCGCAAAGCCTAGCAGGCGTGGCACTTTCTCCACACCACAGGGGGTGCGCAGGGGGTGGTCTCTCAGTTCGGCCGCTATCCACGACACTGGCGCAAAGCCTAGCAGGCGTGGCACTTTCTCGACACCACAGGGGGTGCGCAGGGGGTGGTCTCTCAGCTCGGCCGCTATCCACGACACTGGCGCAAAGCCTAGCAGGCGTGGCACTTTCTCGACACCACAGGGGGTGCGCAGGGGGTGGTCTCTCAGTTCGGCCGCTATCCACGACACTGGCGCAAAGCCTAGCAGGCGTGGCACTTTCTCGACACCACAGGGGGTGCGCAGGGGGTGGTCTCTCAGCTCGGCCGCTATCCACGACACTGGCGCAAAGCCTAGCAGGCGTGGCACTTTCTCGACACCACAGGGGGTGCGCAGGGGGTGGTCAGTTCGGCCGTATCCACGGGCGCAAAGCTTTCTCGTGGCACTTTCTCGACACCACAGGGGGTGCGCAGGGGGTGGTCTCTCAGTTCGGCCGCTATCCACGACACTGGCGCAAAGCCTAGCAGGCGTGGCACTTTCTCGACACCGACACGGGGGGGGCGCAGGGGGGGTGGTCTTCAGTTCGGCCGCTATCACGACTCTGGCGGAAAGCCTAGAAGGGTGGCACTTTCTCGACACCTACAGGCGGCCACTGCAGGGGGTGGTCTCTCTGCTCGGCCGCTATCCACGACACTGGCGCAAAGCCTAGCAGGCGTGGCACTTTCTCGACACCACAGGGGGTGCGCAGGGGGTGGTCTCTCAGCTCGGCCGCTATCCACGACACTGGCGCAAAGGCTAGCAGGCGTGGCACTTTCTCGACACCACAGGGGGTGCGCAGGGGGTGGTCTCTCAGCTCGGCCGCTATCCACGACACTGGCGCAAAGCCTAGCAAGCGTGGCACTCCTTCTCGACACCACAGGGGGTGCGCAGGGGGTGGTCTCTCAGCTCGGCCGCTATCCACGACACTGGCGCAAAGCCTAGCAGGCGTGGCACTTTCTCGACACCACAGGGGGTGCGCAGGGGGTGGTTCTCTCAGTTCGGCCGCTATCCACGACACTGGCGCAAAGCCTAGCAGGCGTGGCACTTTCTCGACACCACAGGGGGTGCGCAGGGGGTGGTCTCTCAGTTCGGCCGCTATCCACGACACTGGCGCAAAGCCTAGCAGGCGTGGCACTTTCTCGACACCACAGGGGGTGCGCAGGGGGTGGTCTCTCAGTTCGGACCGCTATCCACGACACTGGCGCAAAGCCTAGCAGGCGTGGCACTTTCTCGACACCACAGGGGGTGCGCAGGGGGTGGTCTCTCAGTTCGGCCGCTATCCACGACACTGTCGCGCCAAAGCCTAGCAGGCGTGGCATTTCTCGACACCACAGGGGGTGCGCAGGGGGTGGTCTCCAGTTCGTCCGCTATCCAGACACTGCGCAAAGCCTAGCAGGCCGTGGCGATCACATGCGCAAGCTAGCGGCGTGGCACTTTCTCGACCACAGGGGGTGCGCAGGGGGTGGTCTCTCAGTCGGCGCGCTGGTCCTCAGTTCGGCCGCTATCCACGACACTGGCGCAAAGCCTAGCAGGCGTGGCACTTTCTCGACACCAAAGGGGGTGGGCAGGGGGTGGTCTCTCAGCTCGGCCGCTATCCACGACACTGGCGCAAAGCCTAGCAGGCGTGGCACTTTCTCGACACCACACGGGGTGCGCAGGGGGTGGTCTCTCAGCTCGGCCGCTATCCACGACACTGGCGCAGACCTAGCAAGCGTGGCACTTTCTCGACACCACAGGGGGTGCGCAGGGGGTGGTCTCTCAGCTCGGTCGCTCAGAGGGCTCAGAACGCAGGATTGCATACATATATATATATATATACATATATGATACATAAGCAAACACATAAGATTTAAATTAAGTTTGTGGGGTTCCTCGGTAGCGTAATTTGTGACAGGTCGGATGGCCCCTTCCGCTTGGGGTTGCCCCGGACGCCCGCGCGCGATGTGCGCCGCGTCCCGTTCTTGCTACGCATTTCGCATCGTCGACGACAAAATCGGCCATGTTGAGAGAAATAACGACGACTTTGTATTGATTTTTTGGGGTTCGGATGGGAGGGCTCGAATTGACGGCCGCGCGCGATGTGCGCCGCGTCCTATTCCTGCTTCGCGCTTCGCATTGTTGACGACAAGAATGGCCATGTTGACAGGAAACACGGCGACTTTGTAGTGTTTTTTTTTACAGTTAGGATGGGAGGGCCCGGATGGAACCCCGATCGGCCGGCCAGAGGGGGGAGTAAGAGTATATTCTAATAAGGAATAAGGATCAAAGTCGGAGTAGGAGTAGGAGTAGGAGTAGGGGTCAAGCTAGCCAGCTCGAGCGAGTCAAGCATGGCATGCCCAGTCTCACCCGCCCTCCCACAACATAAGAAACAGTGCTGGCGCAACTGGGGGCCGAAATCAGATCGGCAAGGTGGTTTGCCACAGCTGATGCAGGCGCGATGGCGGTTACCGATAAGAAATTATTGGCGCGTCTCAAAGATTGCGCTGGTATTTTAGCACGAGCCGAGGAGACCCAGGAAACTTCAGGAGAAGCCCCAGCGACCCACAGGAAACCCCAGGAGGCTTCAGGAGGGCCCAGGAAGCCCCAGGTAATTCCAGGAGTCTCAGGAAGCCCTAGGAAGTGTTAGGAAGGCCCCGGGGAATCCCAAGAAGCCCCAGGATGCTTCAGGAGGCTCCAGGAGGATCCACGAGGCCCTTGGGAAACCCCTGGAAACCCCAGGATGTCCCAGGAGACCCTGGGGGGCCCCACGGGGCCCTAGGCGCTCGACGAATTGGCGAGCGAAAAATGTGCGCCGCGCCCCAGTGGGAACGCAACTTTCAGACAACATGCGCGCGGCGCCGGAACGAGAGCGACATTTCGCCTTGTCGCGCGCGATGTGCACCGCGCCCCCTTCCTGCCACGCGTTTCGCAAAACCGACGACAAGAAAATCCCCTTTGACAAGAAACATGTAGAGTTTGTACAGTTTTCGACAGGTAGGATGGCCCCTTCCGCTTGGGGTTGCCCCAGACGTCCGCGGGCGATGTGCGCCGCGTCCCGTTCTCGCTACGCATTTCGCATCGTCGACGCCGAGAGCGGCCATATTGAGACAAATAACGACGACTTTGTATTGATTTTTTGGGGTTCGGATGGGAGGGCCCGGATTGACGGCCGCGCGCGATGTGCGCCGCGTCCTATTCGTGCTACGCGTTTCGCATTGTCGACGAAAAGAAAGGCCATGTTCACAGAACAACGGCGACTTTGTAGTTTTTTTTACAGTTAGGATGGGAGGGCCCGGATGAAACCCCGATCGGCCAGCCAGAGGGGGGGAATGAGTATACTTGAATAGGAATCGGGAGGAGTAGTCGTGGTAGTAGTAGTAGTAGTAGTAGTAGTAAGTAGTGTAAGTAGTGATTAGTAGTGAGTGAGTAATTAGTACGTTAAGTAGTAGTAGTAGTAGTTGTAGTAGTAGTAGAGTAGTAGTAGTTAGTAGTAGTAGTAATAGTAGTAATCATCGTAGTAGTAGTAGTGGTAGTAGTAGTAGTAGTAGTAGTAGTATTAAGGAGTAGTAGTAGTAGTAGTAAGTCGTCGTCGTGTCGCAATCGTAGTAGTCGTCGTAGTCGTAGTAGTAGTATAGTAAAGTATGTCGTAGTAGTTAGTAGTAGTAGTTTAGTAGTAGTAAATTACTAGTAGTAGTAAGTAAAGTAGTAGATTTAGTAGTAGAGTCGTTAGTAGAATGAGTATTAAGTAGTATAGTAGTATAGGAGTTGAGTAATGTAGTAGAGTAAGTAGTAGTAAGTAGTAGTAGTAGTAAGTATAGCAGTAGTCGTAGTAGTTGTTGTAGCTGTTGTAGTAGTAGTAGTAGTAGTAGTAGTAGTAGTAGTAGTAGTAGTAGTAGTAGTAGTAGTCGTAGTACTAGTAGTAGTAGTAGTAGTAGTAGTAGTAGTAGTAGTAGTAGTAGTAGTAGTAGTAGTGGTAGTAGTAGTAGTAGTTGTAGTTGTAGTTGTAGTTGTAGTTGTAGTTGTAGTCTTTGCCGTATTATCCCCACATGCTTAGTGGGGTTCTGGTTTTCTTCCCTGCCGCGTCGCACCCGCGTCTCACCTGACACCTCCCCTGCTCCTCACAGCACTGCTCAGCACAGCTCAGCTCAGCTCAGCTCAGCACGGCACAGCTTAGCACAGCTGAGCTCAGCTCAGCTCAGCACAGCACAGCACAGCGCAGCACAGCACAGCTCACCGCAGCACAGCGCATCACAGCACAGCACACAGCAGAGCACAGCACAGCTCAGCTCAGCACAGCACAGCGCAGCTCAGCTCAGCTCAGCACAGCACAGCACAGCACAGCACAGCACAGCTCACCGCAGCACAGCACAGCACAGCACAGCACACACCACAGCACAGCACAGCACAGGCGTGGCACAGGCGTGGCACGCATGGCATTTCCTCGACACCACAGGGGGGAGCTGTGGGTGGGGACGCTATCCGTTTCGGGCTCGCAAAGCGTGGCGGGCGTGGTGCTTCCACGACACCACAGGGGGGAGCTGTGGGTGGGGACGCTATCCGTTTCGGGCTCGCAAAGCGTGGCAGGCGTGTCACTTCCTTGACACCACAGGGGGGGAGCTGTGGGTGGGGACGCTATCCGTTTCGGGCTCGCAAAGCGTGGCAGGCGTGGCATTTCCTACGACACCCAGGGGGGGGCTGTGGGTGGG